TTGTCTTATTTCAAGTGTAGTAAGACATTTGCACTAGAAACTAAACCGGACATATTAGATTTTGTGTTTTTGCCATAGGCTTATTGTTCAACGGAGATCACTAGTATCAAAAATCCTCTCACAAAATAAAACTAAAACATACATTCCTCATGTAGTTCTTCAGAACACAAATTGTTATTGATGTTAATAAATCTTTTGGTAGGCAGTGGATTTAAACTTGTTCCTGCACATCAGCCAACATAGCACACCGGGACAATCTAACACATTTCTCTGTAGAACATTCTGAAAATAGATCAATTTACAGCTCTGCCTCAAACTACAATCAAAACAGCTTGTTAGATTTTAGTTTGAAGCACGACATATGTTCCCACAGTACGCGCTCTTAATTCTGACTGCATTGGATAGTGCGCTTCTTAAGGTGTGTTTTCTGTTGCTGTGAGAGTTCAGTCCTTACATGCGTGACCTGGCGAACTCCTCTCCCTTTTCTCGCTGAAATTAATTGGTCACAAAACAGCTGCTGTCAGCGTGAGCCTCCGCTTCTTCTTGTTGAAAATGGCAGCGGCCGTGTCCTCGTTTACTGTTTTTGGAAACTCCAGAAGCAAATGGTAAACATCTTCCACTTCTAGAAGAACATCCTCCTGCAGAGTTATAAAAAAAAATATATATATATATATATATATATATATATATATACACACATATATATATTCAGGGAACTGTAAGACTCACAGGCCAATTATGCATTTTATATGACATTCAGCCATCCAGCGAAGCACAGCGGAATCGAAGCGGTTCATTATAAGTGTTTGGGGCAGAGGGGGTGAGTAGCTGCTAACCTTGGACACTCTCAGCTGGCACTCTGACATGGAACGAACTTTCGGCAGCTCCACTGTCAGCTCCACGCTGCGAGGGACTCCCGCCACATCGCTCTTCACCTCCACCACATACTCGGGCTCCTGAGGCCCCTGGAAAGTGCTGGAAATGACCTGGATCAAATTCGCCTTCGTCTGCTCCACCGGCCTGCAAATGATTTGGGCCGCGCTGTCCTCCTCCGATCGCTGAGAAGAGGAGATCTGTCGCAGGAGGGCGGCTGGAGTCTGACTGGCTGTGAATGAGAGAAACTGGTGGGAGGACGCAGACGACACACCCTTAAAGGAAGGGAGCCACACGCCCTGAGTAAAGAGGTTTGCCGCAGCTTATCAGAGTAAGAGGAATGAAATGTTGCTGTACTATAAAGTAACTCACAACTTACTGTAGTAAACAATAATATTGTACTGGTTTGACACCATTTTGAAATAGGGGTGCACTGATTGCAGTTCTCTGGCTGATTACCAATATTTAAAAATATGCTGATTCTGATTTTGGCTGATGCTATTTTTTTTCTTTTTTGTCTGAAATGTCACTAAATATAGCAAGAAAGTCACAGAGTTGGCAACAGTGGGGTCGCTATTGGTAACTGCAAACATGCAGACATGACCTAACCTGGTGGGCCGGTCTGACAATCAAACCTCTCACGGCAGAGCAAAAGAGGACAGTGTCTGATTTTTAGACCTTTGTTGAGCCAGATAAGATCAGTGGATAAGTTCGGCTTCACATGTAAGTATCGGCCAATTACAGACCTCCCAAAATTAAGAAAATCAGGGCCTATTTTGAAGTAATGGCGTAATAATGCAAATAAGCCCTTTCACACACCAACAAACCTTAATTTTTAAAAGAAAACTTAGTACTGGAAGAGAAAGATATAAACATCCAAAATGAAATGATAACCAAAACCGAAAAATAAAATGGAGACGCAGAACACTCACAACCGAGACGACAAATAAAATACATTGACGTTTGTGTCACCACAATTGCCATTCACCAGAATGGAAAATTAGGGATGCACAATATACCCAAACTAACATTGATATCAGCCAATATTCATCACCTTTTAACATCTCAACATCAGCTCGATAAATAAAACCTGGCTGATATTAACACACGATATTTATTTCAATCTTGTTGCTGTTTGTTTACGGTCAGGGTTGGTCATTTAGTATTTGTTTGGTCATGTGACAGTGACAGTCATGCAGTGCAGGATTCTCGGATTGGAAAATATTATCGGCCACAGCAGAAGTATTAATATCGGATATAAATATCTGCCCAAATTTCTATATTGGTGCATCCCTAACGGAAATGAGCAATCTCATTTGAATTACACGATTAGTTGATTAATTGCTTATTTTTACAAGTTTGGGGAGGTTAGTGGGTTACTTACTTGTTTCCAGTTGCTTGGAGATGATTGGCAGCTTCTGAAAGCCGAGCCGACACTGTAAGTCGTCCGGGTTACCTTTCGGACTGCGGCTGACGACGCTGTACTCCTGAGATAACGACATCCCGTGCTGTTGCTGGGCAAAGCTCAGGGCCAGCATATAGATATTATTAATATCTACTTTATCCTCTTTCCTCTTCTGTAGCACTGAAGGATTTAGCGCCACATCCAGCACAGCGAAACAGCCTGCAGGGGTTAAAACCTTTGAATGTCTTGCTCACATCGTGCAACACAGACGAAGGTCGTGGAGCTTACAGCCACCTTGGTCCTCGCCGTTGCATCTCTCTAGTTTTCCTCCGCACAAAGGAAGGGAGCTGCTCTGATCCTGAGGCGCAGGCACACGCTTCCAGCTGCAAATGTTAATGTAGAGCAAACCTGGCTTTGGCTCCTGGGAAGGACACAGATGAGCCTGAGACTTTTACATACATTTGGCATAAAAATCATACAAATGTACTGCTACTAAAGATGCATTTGATGCATTCAGTTTCCAGGGTGGAATGATAATATATCAAATATTTTTCTGGGTTTAACAAAAAAAGAAAAAAAAAAAACAAAACATGAAGCTGGTGCCAAACTTTGAATTTCCTGTGAATTTTGTCTAATGCACTTATGATCAAAATAACCCATAGGACTACAGGTTCCAGTATATAACCCAGTAATGTTTGGATAAATGGACATAAAATAAACCAAAATGAGCTTGATTATCTCCATTATAATGATTGATATTTTTTAAAGAGCAATCAAACAATCAGAACCCATATTATTTATGGTATCAGTTGTGTGGTTTATATTTCTATTTTATTTATTGTTTTTTGGTTGTGTTTTATTTTGGATAATTAAAATATCTTCTAGCTCCAGTGTTAAGTATTCATAACAAAATTAAAGTTTATTAGTCTTGGCAAGGGCAACTTGAATTATTATACAATTATCAACCTGAAAAAGGTTTCAAAAGAACAATTTTTTTCAGCAATAATCACTGGGACAAGTTATCGTCCATCAGAATGTGTTATTGTGACAGACTTACATGTAAGCACATATGAGAACCAGTAGAGTTTGTATGAATTGGTGTTCAAACCCAGCTTTTCAGTTGTTGTTTTTTTCACAAACTTTTAAAAACGTTAAAGTCTGACTCTTTCCACAATCTTAGTGTTAGCCTAATTTATCCATTCCAGAACTGTTTTGATGGATTGTTGGTGTCCTGTTGAAATGTGTAATTGTTTACCACCCGAGTGTCAAACTCATTTTTATTTTGGGACATTCTCACTTTTCAACAATGACAAATTGTTGAAATATGAAGAAATGGCTGTCTTAACTAACAACTTAGCATCAATGTAATTTGGCAATGTAAAGATAAAAAAAAAAAACTGTTCTGATTTGATTTGTAAAATATTTATTACATAAAAATGGGGTGTTGGATTTGACCCTCGGGCCTTTAGTTTAGTTGCTGTCTAGTTGCTTATTGAAGGCAAGATGAAGAATTTTGAGGTATTCTTCATTTTTTATTATTCCATCAACTTGAAATACACCATTCCAACTTTCCATCAGCAGGATGCTGCTGCCACCGACTGCTTCAAAGTTGATATCGTCTACTTGGTTTAATAGCCTCATCATGACGTTTTCAAACGTACTTTTTTCTCCCATTTTGACCGAATATCCCAATGTTTTGTCTCCTCTGACTGTAAAACTTTATCCAGACGGCATTTGACGTCCCCATATCTGCAAGTGCAAGCTGTCCTAATCAATCAAGCGCACCTGCTGCCGACCGTCCAGGAAACTCACCAGTATCTGAGTTCGCACACACGAATGGAGCTCAGGCGGTGCGTTGAATTCAGCTCCTCTCTTCATTTGTTCCTCTATGAACTTGCGGTACGCTGCTGGGTCGCTTTGAGACAAGTCGTCCAGCATGACCCAAAAGTGGCTGACCTGCTGTAAAACATCTTCCCTTCCGCCGGTGCTGGACATCATACGAAGGTGAATGTCTTCCTTTAGCTTCTAACTGCTAGCTAGTTGGTAGCTGGTGCTTTAAACTGCAACCTCCGGTTGTTTTTTTCTTTGGTGTAGCTAAAGTATGTCGAATGTCTTATTAACTCCACAAGTAAAGCTAACTTTGTTAGTGTTGTTAGTTGCTATAGAAACTAGTTTTTAAAGTATCACACAGTCGCCACCTGGTGGTCAAGAGGTGTTTTTGCAGCGCAATAATCACAAGACATTGCTTTCAGAGGGGTACAATTTATACTCGGTACATAAAAGATATAACATGTATGTTTATATTTTCACTCTCGTTATGTGTAGGTCAGTTAACTGACATTTAAAGTATAAATAAAACACAGCCATAGTTCTCCACCATCCCAAATGACTCGGCAGTATCTTCCTCTTTTTTTTTTTGCATCTCTTGTTCTCAGTAATTCTGCAAAAAAGAGTGATCATCAGTCAGTGAAAACTACAATTATGTTTCATTATAAGCAAGTCAAAATTAATGATAATGGTAGTGTATGATGATCATAATTAGGCGTCATGTTGTGAACATCAATTTTTACAGTGCCTTTCAAAGTCATTCACACCCTGTACATTTTTTCCACCTTTTTTTTTTTTTTTTTGCAGATTAGTTACAAATTTCTCTGGTAAATCAGTGAACATAAAGTAGGGCATAACTGCTAAGTACAGGGAAAAAATATGCACAGTACAAATAAAAATCTGAAAAGTGTGGCGTACTCCTGTGTATAATTTAATCTCCATATACATAAGGGTTCAAGTAAGTGTAAAGTGGTGTAATTACAAATTTTGTGCCACAAGTTCTTCTACTAGGTTGTCTGCTTCTCCATTTTCTAGTTCTGCATCCCCAGAACCAGACAATGGAGAAGCAACATTCAGTTTTTGTACTCTTATAATCTGGAACAAACGTTCAGAAACCTGCAAAACAGCCAAAACGCTGAGTTCCTTTATATCAAACTGAAAAGCCCACCTGTTCAGAGCTGCCTTTGATTCATAACAACTGGAACATTGATGGTTATATTTGATGTATATTTACTTAAATTTGATAATGGCATTTCAAAAAATTTGTTTCTTGTTTCACAATTAGCTATCATATTATGTTTTTACGGTGTAAAGCACTTTGAGCTCCCTTGTTGCTGAAATGTGCTGTATAATAAACTTGACTGGACTTCTGTCACATACAATAATTCCCAATGACGCTTTTTTAAGTTCCAAGTGGTATGAATAGTTTCGAAGCATTATAACTTCTGTTGATAAAAGTGTTTACCTCAATCATGTCGTAGATCCAGTCCAAGAATTCAGCCACTTTGCTGTAAACCCCGGGATGGTTCGGCTCAGCGCAGCCCGTCCCCCAACTTACGACTCCTGCAAGCCTCCACAAATTTTCATCCTGGCAAACAAGAGGGCCCCCGCTATCCCCCTGATAAGGTACACACAGAAAGCCTTCAGTACAACCGTACACAAATGAAACAGGGTGTACATCTTTATTAATGTTATAAAAAAAGACAACAAAAAGTACTTTCTAGTACATGCATCCAACCTGACATGCATCCACTTTTCCTTCCGTGTACCCGGCACAGAGCATCCGTGGAGTGATCTCCCCGTTGTACATGCAGGAGCTGTTGCATTTCTTTGTGCTTATTATAGGAACTGGGGCTTCTTTCAGGGTGTCGGGCGAATGAACTGAGAGAGGAAACATGCATTCAGGGCTGGCCTGTCAGTACAAGTGTCACGCTCTGTCAACGTGCCTTTAAATTAGACTTGTTGCACGAGTGAAATGTAGGTCTGTGTGTAGCCGCAATTCACCGCCGTCGGGCTGTGTGTATCCCCATCCAGAGATCCAGCACTGCGTGCCACCTGGGAGATCATAGTCGTACGGCGGCAAGCAGATGGGTCTAATTGTGTCTATTTAAAAAAAAAAAAAGGGGGAGAGGAATTAAAAAAAACCCACTTAGCACTGATTGTTTGACAAATCTATATACACTGTTACAGATTTTAGCAGCCTTTGTAAATCCCTTTAGATACATTGTAAGTTTGTAAGTGCAGTAGTTTAATCTCACACTGGAAACATTTCCTCACTTTTGGACCTTGGAAGCCAGAAGGACCTCACTCAGTTTTCTCCTATGTTGCAAAAGTTGAACGTACAAAAAGTGAGATCCTCTTAATCATCCAGAAATCTCAAGTCTCTCTTGTGTCATTTCCTCTTTTCAGCTCCACCTGTCGACTTTTTATATGATTTACACACGAGGACTGATATGACCTTTGAAGAGGACTGATTGTGTGTCTTTTAAACCATTTTTGTTTAGATGTTGCCACATGTTTTGAATCATTATATTATGTGACCCATATCCAGTTTTCTGGTTGAATACAACAGTTTTTATTTAAAACATCCTAGCATTTCAAACAGTTTGTTTGAAGAGCGTTATAGATGCTCCATGTAGCCATTCTTTCTTCACTCCAAACCCACTTGGAGTATTTAACGGAAATGTCAATCTTTGTCTTATCTGTTAAAGCATGCTTTGCTGGTAAGAGTCCAGGGAATCTTCATGTGTTCACATTTATGGTAGGAGAACTGAAACAGCAAAGTTTACTTATTTATAGCTGCTATAAAGGCTTGGTCACCCTGAGGTGTCACTGTGTGCTCATGTTGTCTTTGAGCTTTGAATGTTTCTTTTTTTTCCTCCCATCTCCTTTACAAACCTTTGAAGTGAGGGTATTTCCTTTACTATCTGATGTCTGATAAAAAAAAAATGTTTAGCTTGAAAATAACCTTTTGAACCACAGTCAAAGGAGGTACAGAAAAATAGCACTTTGAAACAACTCTGACAGTACAGCAGTGCAGGATATGAAATAAAAGGATTTATTCTGCCACTTTTTGACGTTGGACAAAAGTCAGACTTCATGAGGCATTTCAAAACTTGTTCAGATAATGTGGTCTTGTTAGTGGAATGTTTTAAAATTATTTGTCTATTATTTTAAAAGGGGTGTGTAGACTTTCAAGTCATTGCACATTACTAATTGAACATGTTAATTAGTGACATTTATTAGTACTTTGAATTATTAATTGCACCTTTATCTGCTTGGTGTGTGGTGGCAAGATAAATCCAGTCTTACAGCCAGTGGCTAAAAGAAATAAGGCTTGGTGTTGCATCATTTTGATTCCCCAAGGAAACAATGTGACCATCAACTAAAGTTCCTAGAACCTGTGTCTGATTGTTGTATTTTCAGATCACAATTGTCCAGCGACTTACTCAGGCTTGGGCTGACAAAACAATTGAAAATCAGAAAAACATATCCCTGAACCTTATGATTTGCATTTAAAAAATTAACTATTTTATTTGCTTCAATATAAACTTGAATGTTTTATTTTATTATTTAAGCAGATAAAATAAATGTCGCATGAATTTTTGCGTTTAATAAGGGGTTGGGGGAAGGCCCACAAGTGCTTATGACTGATTTGACCTCAGATCAAAAAGTTCAGATTGTTTTAGAGATGCTAGTGATGCCAGAGAGTGTGCAACACATTTCTTAACATAGGATTCAGTCCCCACTCAATACAAGAACCCAAATAAACGGATTATTATAATATTTAATGTTTAGCGTGAGGTTATGCTAGAGTCTAGCAGCTAGAGCATTAAACGTAGAATTAAGGCTTACGTTTCCACCGGTTTTTGTATGAAAACCTCGTCCACAGACACACCTGAGAAATTGAGGGGTCTCCGCAGCTTCATCAGCGCTATGTCGCTGTCGTGGCTTCTGTGGTTGTAGTTCTTGTTGTAGATTATCTTCTCCACCACGTAGCCCGCGTGCTGAGCGATTTTTGCCGAACTACGAGTCACAATGCCCGCATAGACCACCCAGCTGGACACATGAGGTAGCCTGTAGCTGACATTTCAAATGGAAAACAGACGCAGTATATGACTGACTGCTGCCCTTCAGAGGCGCTCCGACCTGTGACCCGTAGCGCTGTTAAGTTCAGCCGCCTTACTTATGCACACAGTGGGCTGCTGTTACTATCCATTGACTGGTGATGATGGACCCTCCGCAGGTGTGACGATTGCTGTAGTAGAGGCTGACCTGCCAGGGCCACCTGCCCAGCAGGGCCTCAACGCCTCCTATTATCCTGGGCAGCTTCGCTCGGGTCCCACACTCTGCACAGAGGATCGTTTATCAGAGACCTGTTTGGTCAGAGAGCGCTCCAGCAGATCTAGTCACTGATTGTTCCGATATTGAGCTTTTCACAGGGGTTTTACAGAGGTTTTCATGTTGGGTGAAAATGCTGAATCAAAAGTTCAAGCTAATTTGCTTACCAAAACACTGCAAAGCAATAATCTTCCCTGTGATGCAGCTCTCTCTAAATGAAAATAAATGGAGTAACTAATGAGGCGTAATCAATATATTAGCAGTTAAATCTGTGTAAATATGATGGCCTGAGATTAATCACCTCACCTGAAGTACCACATGTTTTCTAAGCTGCTCTTCTGTTCTGAGGTAATTTGTATGAAACCATCCGTGTAGTTTGGCCCAACGTCTGTGAGATTCACTCCTTTATGCCTGGTCAGTCTGGTAAGAAAGCGAAAATACGAGTGGGAGACGCAAATGAACACGCTATGTTTATGTCTTGAACTCTTCCCTATTGAACTTCTTCATATTCTGTCATGCAAATCTAAATGCATTTACATTTTGTGTGATAGACCAACAAACTGTGGTGTGTCTGTGTGGAAAAGGACACAATTTATTTAAAATCTGTGCTGTGGATGTGTGTCCAGCACTTCTGAATTAGTTGTTTTTTAAAACTTCAAGAGACAGAAGCTTTTGTCTGTTATGCTTTGCAGAGAAGTTCAGACTGAACTGAATTGTATGGACAATGTATGTGAAGATCAGTCTTCAAGATTTGGCCCAAATTCTGAACTGGATTTAGGTCTGGACTTTGACTATGCCATGGTGACACATGAATATGTTTTGAACTAAATCCTTCCAATCCTAGCCTGTGAGTTCACATGGTCGGCCATGTCAGTACTTCATCTCTGACATGTCTGCTGTGTTCCTTGGTCTGCATGATGCTGCTTGTTGTTCACTAATGTTCTCCAACAAACCGGTGAGGCAATGAATTTTATCAAGGGGTAACAGATCAAAAGGGGCTGGATACAAATGAACCCCATACAATTTTTTTTTTTTTTTTTTTTTTCGTCTTCCCCTTTATTTCCCACTACTTTGTGTTGGTTGGTTGCATAAAACGAATCAAACAATGCAGAATAAGAGGGGTGAATATTTGTAAGGAGTAAAGTTTAAAAAGCAGGTTTTAAAAAAAGGGGAGTTGTCACTGATCTCAGTCTAAATGATTATGTTTGCGTGGTGTTTGTGCCGTCACACCTCAGATAGCCCAGCTGCCTGCAGACTAGTGTTCCCAACGATGAGTTCCACCTCTCGGAGCACACCGGCAGCCAGGTGTGCAGCCTCCCCAGCTGGATCTCCAGTAGGGAGTTCTCCGGGCTGATTCTGTAAAACACTGAACCTGATTGATTCAAAAATCCCTCCGGAGACGAACTCTCAGCCAGCAGTAATGAATAGGTGCACAGGGCGATAAATTTTGAAAATGCACAAGTACCTGTGTTAATATAGTTGGCACAAAGAGGTCATTAACCGTGATGTTTCTTTTACGTCAGTCAATGATATTCTCTCGCAAGCGAGGCAAAGGACAACAAGAAGCAGCTGTTATGTACAGATTTAGCTGCCGCTGATGTAAAACTCACTGCAGAGGTGACCCTTGATGCCGTGTAATGAATCACTTGACAATAAACTGTGCAGCAACACACTCCTGCTCTGACTGTTAATTCATGAAGCCGAGGGAAACGGACTCTTAAGAAACGAGAAGAGAAGCAGACCTTTCCGTGGGTGGGAGACGGAGACATCATCAGTCACGTTGCAGAAAGATGTCTCCTTCGTATCTCCAAGCCCGACCGAGGTTTGGGAAGAAGATGGCCTCAGCAGAAGTTTGACTGAACGCAGAGAGCAGTTTGAGTTTTAAAATCACCCCGGCAGATGAGCAGCAAAATCTTGTTTTTCTAAATGTTACCAGTCGTTCTGAATTAGTGCTTGGAGCAAATTAAAATCTATGCAGTAATAAAATTGTCAGAAATAAATGATGAATCTGGAAAGACTAACAAAGATCTAATTTAGCATGATTTACAATGCTATCTTTTGTGCAGCTGTAGGAAAAAAAATAGGGTAAGGACCAAAATACAGTCTGTTTTATTAGTATGAACCAGTTTTTTTTTTCCTACTTTTGGACCTGGACCTGAACTCAAGTAATCCTTATTTTTACACCCATATGTTACATTATCCGAGCGGCTTTTATTTACTGCCAAGCTCCCATTTTGCATCCTGTTAAAGGTTTTTAAATAAAAATGAGGATAATGAATCATTTG